AAAATTTGTGAGTATATTTTATTTTGTTTTGTAGAGATGGCATCTCGCTATGTTGTCCAGGTAGTCTTGAATGCCTAGCCCTAAGTGGTCCTCCTGCTTTGCTTCTCCAAGTGTTGGAATTGCAGGTTTGAGCCACCACCCGTACCCAACCTGGGAACATATTTGCAATCCCCTACTAGGGAAGCGAGTGGGCATGGTGCTACTTATTTGCTGTCATCCTCAGGTCACCATGGAAGGTACAGGAATGCCCTTCCTAACCCGGGTCAGACATATTTGGGGGGAAAGGACAGGAATTGCAGCAAGACGGGCGTCAGCAGGTAGGCCTCTGCAAGATGTTGGGGTATCTGGGGCAGATTCCTGGGAAGTGGTGCAGGGCGGGGGCATGGGTCCAAGCAGAGGCATCTGAGAAGTGGTGGTGGGTTTTCAGCTGGTGGCAGATATCAGAGCTCTGCAGAGTCCTTGTTGGCTAGAGCTGTCGTGTCTGCCTTAGGCTGGGGAAGGGTGGGGGAGCCCACTCCAGCCACGTCTGTCAGTGCACAGACTTGTCTCTCTCCCCGCCAGACTCCAGAGGATGGCAGCTGGCACCCAGCCAAGTGTGGGGTGGGCCATCTCGAGGCTGTGAGAGCCAGATGTTGTTTGCTCCCGATGCCATGGTAACCTGCCCTGCACTGGTTCTGGCTCAGGTGCCCTGGGCAGTCTCCCCAGCTCCTGCGTGGGAGTGGCCGGGCCTTGGCATCTGGGCTGGACTTGCCTGTTTTGAGACAGGCTCCCATCTGCATTCATAGCCAGGCAGCGTGGGGCCTGTGAGATGCATCACTGATACGGCGATGTAGTTTCTGAACCTGAAGCTGGCCTGATGTGATCGAGTAAGGAGACGACGGGCTGGAATATTTGAAGATGGGTCATCTTAGAAAAATTCAGGCCATCTCCCACCCATGATTGGTGAGCCAGCCGCCATGAGGGGCTGGGGGCTGGTTGAGCGGCAGCCTCTGGGAAAGTGACTAAGGTACTCCAACCAAATCTCCCCAGATTTGTGACTTCTCCAGAATATTCTGACTTCCTGTCACCTTACTTTGGGCCTAATGAAACCTGCTGAGTGTGGTGCTTTGGAAATACTGCCCCATGACCTGGCTTCGTGGGAACCTGTGGCCAACTTTCTGGAGAATCTTTCACTCTGCCCTTTGACTTGGGTGTGATGTCACTTGATCTCTAGCTGAATCCCAGACCCTAGCTGGAGCCAGACTGCTGAAGACTTAACTGTCCCAGTTTGCCAAGCCCCAAGGGGTGACACATTTCTTCTTACCCCTCTGATGCTTTTCTGCTTGTAAAAAGACACCCCCAAACACACACATGTGTGCATGTACACACACGCATACACAGAAACCAAGCCACACAAAGCTAGAGAAACTTTTTTCCTGATTATTTTTCCTTTTCCAGACAGGGACATCGATATATTTGAATCATGGGCCGACAGTAATTAAAAAGCACATAACTAGTCATATTAAAATGCAGTTGTTTTACTTAATTGATTTTGCCGCCAGACGCAGAGAGGAAAAAGGAACGGGAAAGAAAGCTGTAGAAGGGAGACGAATTTCTGCGAGTGACTGCAGGCAGCTGAGGACCTGGCTTGAACCTAATTGCCGCAAGAGCTGCAGTCTTTCTGGGGACGGCGGTCTGTGAACGGGCTGGGACGAGGCCTGATTGGAGGGGGGTGGCGTTTGTTTCAGCTGCATGGGGGGTCTAATTCTGCTTTCAGGAAAGGGTCTGTTTTGCCTTCCCATCTATCAGCATAAAGGACTTCCATGGAACACTTTGAATCAAGGTTCCATTTAGAGATACTTTATTCACATTTAATTACAAGCTACAGCACCAATCTTTAATTACCTTTTTTATAAGGCAGCGAGGAGCATCCACTAGCAATCAGTTATTTTGTGTGTGTGTGTGTGTATGTGTATGTGTGCGCGTATGTGTGCGCGCACGTGCGTGTGCATGCACTTGCCTGAGCACCGGAGGGTGTGGGCGTGTGACTTGCTTCCTGATGGCGGGGGGCTGGCTGCAAGGGCAACAGGGTGGTGGAGGGGTGGGGCATCTGCTGGATGGTCCAAAACTGTGAGCAGGCATCCTCTTTTCCAGTGCTTTTCTTTGCTTCTGCTGGTAGAATCGGGACTGGGGGCAAGTCCTCACGGCTGGGCTTCACTGGGTTGGCTGCTGGGCTTGGGTGGTGTCTTGGGGCCCTGGTGGGGGTAGGGATCGTGGGAGGCTCTCTCCCTGTCCCCCGGGGTTGTGGCGGACCAGGCTTCCTCCACCCTGGAGATGAGGATCTGCTGGCCTCAGCCCTTTTCCTCCTTCGCCTCGCTGGGGGCTGTTCTTGGCAGCTGTTCTTGCCACATAGCCCTAGCGCGGCCGTGCCACTCTTCAGTTGCAGTGACTCTGCAGTGCCCCTGCAATGACACTGGTTTGAAGACTGGCTGTCCTTCTCAGAGAGTACGCAGATGTTCCCCGGAGCCAGACCGAGGCTCAGGGCAGGGATTGAGGGCAGGTGACCCCTGAGTCCCTCTGCAGCCAGGAGAGTGTCCATTCCATCTGCCTGGGAGGTAAGGGTCTGAGTTCACAGCTCTGGGAAACCCTCTCCTCGGTGCTCCTTCAGGAACTTCCGGAGGGTTCCAGAGGGACTTGGTACTGATCTCACTATGTCATGGCCGAGAGTGCTGCTGAAGCTCTGCCTTCCCTTCCATTCCTGGATCCCAGTCCAGCAAGAGGGTGGAGAGGGGATGGAACTTCCACTTAGAGTCTCTTGGGCTGCCGGGCACCAGGTTTGTGTGTATTTCATTCATCCCAGCTGGGGCCTGAATGCACACTGTATCAGTCAGAACCCCTTCAGTTATGTGGGAGAGAAAACTTAAACTGACTTAAATGAAAAAGGTTATTCATTTTCAAAAGATAGGCATTCAGGCATGGCTAGATCAAGAGGCTCAAATACTGTGACCTGGATTCACTCCCTCTGTTGCTTGGCTCTACTTTCTTCTTTCCCTCAGCAACTCCACTCCAGACTTCTATTTTTATGTTTAACAGACAGAAGTCTTCTCTCCTGTAGTTCAAACAAAAGTAAAATGAGTGAGTCTGTTGGATCAGTGGATTTACGTGTCTGTCTCTGAACCAGTCATGTGGCCAGGGGTATTCAAGGTTCTGCATTCAGGCCAGGGAGTCACTCACCTTGGAATAACAGGTGGAGTCCGCCTAGGTAAGTCCCACGTGTGACACGTGCTTTGATTGTTTTGGAAAGTGATACACTTGAGGTCTTCGGACTGGTAGAAATGTGCGAACAGGAAAGTCTAAGCCATTTCAAAGGGAAGGAAGAGCTGACTCAGTTCTTCTGCAACAAGAGAAGATTGGATTTAGGCATTCGGCAGATAATTGTTTGGTGGTGACTAGTTCCAGCCTGTTCTTGGTGCCGGGAATTCCACAGCAGACAGAGCAGACAAGAATCCCAACCCACTTGGGCTGATGTTCTAATGGGGTTTATAGTGTGGCGGTCCTGGTGTTCTCCCATCCCAAGCCCAGGTCTGTGATAAAAGGTTCTTGTGCCGAGAGACCCAGGGTGATTGGGGTGGGTGACGAGGGAAGACTCTTGCCGTCAGGGAGTCCAGAACTCACAAGGGAGGGGAGCAGATGAGAGCGTTTTGGGGGAGCAGGAGACCTAAGTACTGGAAGGGACACAAATGAAAACGCCGCAAGGAAGAAGGGGGCCAGGGAAGCCCATCCCAGGCCCATCTCTCATGAGGAGCCCATCCCAGGCCCGCCTCTGGTGGAGAAGGCCTTTGGCCTCTGCAGGATGCTGCAAGATGGGGTGGAGTCTAGTGACAGCTGCAAAAGCAACGGTGGGGCTGAAGGGAGTGATTTCTGAGACAAGATTAGCAAAGGCGTGGTGCGGCCTGGCAGATGGGATGGGATGTGGCTGTGGCTTCTGTGACTTCTGCGGTCCAAGAGGCAGGGCAGAATGACCGCTGACGGTGTAGGGACAGAGGGAGGAAGGGGACACAGACTGAAGGGGCCTCAAAGCACAAGCGCCTGGGGGTGGGCCGGGAGGGGTGGCATGTGCCTGATGACTTCTGTATGCGTTTGTACGTGCATGCATGCGTGTGTATGTGTATGCATGTAGAGGTCTGAACTTGCCAGAATTATGAGAATGCACAGGGGCCTAAAGAAATGGAGAGGACTAGGATTTCAGCCTTGGCCAGTCTTGAAAAAGGCCTTTATGCAGCCATGTAAAAGAAACAAGTCATTTCCTTTGCAGCAACATAGATGCAGCTGGAGGCCATTATTCTAAGCGAATTAACACAGAAACAGAAAACTGAATACTGCATGTTTGTACTTACAAGTGGAAACTCAACACTGGGTATAAGGATGGGGACAACGGCATAAGGCATAAGGATGGGGACAACGGATATGGAGACTTCTAAAGAGGGAGGAGGGGAGGGAGGAGACAAGGGTTGAGGAACTATCTATGGGGTACCATGCTCACTATCAGGGTGCCGGTTTTACTATTAGGGTGCCTGGATTCCTTGAGCTCTCCTGAATGGTGGAATTGAGCCGTCTTCCATCTGTGCCCTGTCTTGGGCCGCCCTGGGCCACGTTCTATTGACATTGGCTTGTTCGTATGTGGTCCAGGAGGCATGATGGTGGACACTTCAGTGGCGGCTGCAGCACAGTTCTGAACATTGCAGACAGTGCTCCTTGGCCTCTGGAGGTGCTCAGGACCCCACCCACATGGATGAGGGCACATCCTCCATGTGTGTCTTCTGTCCCCGCTTCTCCCTATGTCTAGTATGAGTCTCCATGGCAGCAAAGGACCCAGGCAACAGCCCTGGGTTGGCACACAGCTGGTGTGGCAGAAAATCTGTCCTGGGGGCACCAGGCAGCCTGATTCTGGCCATCCTCCTGGCCCCCTCCCTGGATGTGTCATCCTCTCAGTGGCTCTGTCCTCTCTCCACTCCCAACAGATCCATGATTTGTTCATGAGCTTCGATGACACTCCTCTGGGAGCAGCCTCCCTGGCCCAGGTCCACAAGGCAGTGCTGCGTGATGGGCGCACGGTGGCTGTGAAGGTCCAGCACCCAAAGGTGCAGGCTCAGAGCTCGAAGGACATTCTCCTGATGGAGGTGAGAGCCCTCCCTTTCTTCTTCCTCCATCTTCCATCTGTGTGTCCCTGGGATCCAGCGGCCTCAGTGGAACTGGCTCGGGCTGCTGGGTGGAGGGTGCCCTTTGAGCAGCAGAGTGGGAAGGGAGAGCTGGGACCATGACAGAGGAGGTGTCACGACAACTCTCTTACCACAGGACCCTGTGGTGGACTGGGGTTGGTCACTTGATTTGCCAGTGAGGGTCTCAGTACATGCTGAGCAGCTACCAGGGCCAAGGGACCCTCAGGGAGGGTGTTCTAGAAATGAGATAAACCAAAGGGTCCTTGGTGGTAGAAAAAGTTACATCTTAATTTGTTTAATTATAACGAAAAGGAGCATGTGGTCAACAGGGATACAGATAAGTCATTCAGATCACATAGAAATACATATGCAGATTCCAGGTTTGCTTCTCTGATATTTGTTTTGAATGAACAAACTTAGTTGCCTGGAAATAGCCCTGGGAAAGGCCCTGGTGGAATTTTCTAGCTCCACACTCAGAGCAAAGGAGGAAGAGGGTGAGCCGGCCACCAAGTGGGGCAGTAGCCAGCGCCCTCACGGGGAGTTCAGCAAGCCGCTTAGCCGGCCAGCCTTTCCCTCCCCATCTTCTCCCTTACCCCTCCCTTTGTTCGTTTCCTACTCTGAGCTCTTAGTTTATTCTTTCAACCCAGTTTGTTATTTATTTATTTGTTTGGAGTTGGAGTCTCACTCTGTCACCCAGGCCGGAGTGCAGTGGCACGATCATAGCTCACTGCAGCCTTGACCTCCTGGGCTCAGGCGATCCTTCTGCCTCAGCCTGAGTAGCTGGGACTACAGGCATGTGCCACCATGCCCAGCTAAATTCTTCTTATTGGTAGAGGCGACGTCTTGCTGTGTTGCCCAGACTGGTCTTGAACTCCTAACCTCAAGTGATCCTCTTGCCGCTATCTCCCAAAGTGCTCGGGTTACAGGTGTGAGCCGCTGTACTCAGCTCAATTCACTTTCACCAAACTTAACACACGCATTGAGAGACCGTGTACTAGGTGGGGGCTGGGGACCCGAGAGTGTGTGACCTCCATCTTCATCCTGGGGACTCTCCACTTAGCAGAGGAGACAGGTGTGACACAGCCACAGTGTGGGGACATGAGCTCTGTCAAAGGGGTGTTGGCACGTGCCGTGCAGCATGATGCCTGGATAGATGGGGAGTCAAGGGGGCTTTCCTGAGGAGGTGACCCTTGAGAGCCCACGGGATAACTGGGCATGGGGAGGACAGCCCAGCATGGGCAAAGGCCTGAGTTCTACAGGTCTGCTCAGAGAACTTCATCTGGTTCACAGGTGTAGCTGGGAGTGGCTGGCCGTGCGGCTGGGAAGGGAGGCAGGACAGAATACAGAGGCCCTGTGTTCCAGGCTGAGGCCTAGAATGGTCTGCATAGTCAACATGCAATTCATATTTGTGGATCTGAGCACATCTGATTTTCTCCTGCAGTCAGTGGGGAACCACTTAAGAATTTTAATCAGGGGACTGTCGTGATCAGATGTGCATTAGAAATAAAAATCTGCTGGCAGTCTGGAGAATGTATCAGAGGCCGAAAGACTGTAGCCAAGAGACAGATTGAGGGGCCGCTGCATGGGTCTGAGGGAGAAACAATGATCTGAAACCCGGCAGTGTCATGGGGGCAGAGGAGGTGGGTGGGCCCAAGGGGCAGGATCATCAGGACTCTGAGGCCTGCTTCACGTGGCGGGGAGGGACAAGGGCTGGTAGGAAGGGGGAGACGGAAGCATCCATACATTCCAAGACCCTCCAGAGGATGCCTGAACCCATGGACAATACCAAATCTTACATACATACATATCTGTGAGAAAGTCTAATTTGCAAATTGGGCACAGGAAGAAATTAATGACAGTAACTAATAATAAAGTAGTTAAATTAATAAAATAAATAGTAGATCATAACAGTACACTATAATAAAAGTTTTGTGAATGTTCTCTCTCTCTCCCTCTCCCTGACCCCCCCACTCAATACCTTATTGTATTGTGCTCACCTATTTCCTGGCTGCAGTTGACCACAGGTCACTGAAACCTTGGAAAGCAAAACCACAGATGAGGAGGGACTACAGTGTATCAGTCAAGATTTAGTCAGGGAATAAAGAGATTTCTCTCGGTATTTCAAACAGAGGGAATTGAAACAGAAAATGGAGTTTATAAGGGATGGCATTGCTGAGAAGCTGACTGGCATGGTGAGGCCATCACACACAGCAGGAAACCACTGCTAGTCTCGAGGGTCCGGGAGCTGGACCATCTGGGGGAAGCTGGGCTCTTGGGAGCCGGATCACAGACACAGGGCCAGTCACCTGGGAGCTGGAGCCCCAGATGCTGTTGGAGGCAAAGTGTTTTCATCTCCTGTCCCCTGTATTCCATCAGTGTTGCCCCTGGGTCGTGCCAAGCCTTGCTGGAAGTGCGTTGGCAAGGAGGTGAGGAAATGTGGGTTCTTAAGAGAGTGAGGCGGTTGGGTGGGTCTGAGAGCAAAGTGACATGGGCGGTAGAGCGATGTGGTAGTTTTGGACAGGCGTCTCCCTGTCAGCTGAAGTCGGGCAAAGGGTCTTGTGATAGTTGAATCTGAGGGAGTAGCTGAGACCACTCAGAGAAGGTCTGTAAAGTTAAAGAAATAGGAGAGAGAGCAGGTAAGACACTATGAGAAGCCTCGTGGTGTGGGGAGTGAGCCTCGAGAAGTGAGGACGGGACCAGGAGGGTGTGGTGGGAGAGCTGGGGAGAGCGGGGCGGAGCCGTGCTGCGACCTCCAGGGAAGAGCCTTCGAGCCTCACTCCGCTCTCTAGTGCTGCATCAGGAGTCTCCTCAGAACTTAGTGGCTTACAACCCCTGTCCTGTGTTTTGCTTGTGAATCCGCAGTTTGGCTTGGCAGAGAAACTCATCTGTTCCGTGCAAGGAGGGTAAGCTTGGCTGGGGCTGGAGGAGCCGTGTCCAAGGTGGCTCATTCCCATGCTGGAGCTCGACTGAGGCTGTGGGCCAGGGACTTCGAGCCTCTCCTCGTCAGCCTCCACACGGTCGTTGGGGCTTCTTCACAGCCTGGCAGCTGAGTTCTAAGAGCAAGTGTCCTGAGAGAGTAAGGCTCAAAGTCCATCACCATTTATGACCCAACCTTGGAAGTCACATAGGACGACTTCTTCCTGACTTTCTCGGATAAAGCAGTCACAGAGGCCCCTTAGTTCAGTTCAGGGAAAATAGACTCTACCTCTGAATGGGAGCGTGGCAAGGTTCTAGAAGCATGGTAGAATGGGATTGGTTGTAGCCATTTTGGAAAATGTCATCTGCTGGAATTACTCAATCAAATCGGAAAAGCCCTGGGGAAGGGCACTTTGGATTCGGTGACTTAGGGTAGTTAGGAAGAACAGCTACACGGCCCGAGGGGGTGGAAGAAAATTGAGACCCAAGGAAGCAGAGACCCCTCATGCAAAAAATACTCTTTTAAAAGGTTTAGCTGTGGAAGGCTGGGGAGGGTTAGGGTAATGGTTAGAGCAGAGCATAGGTTGAGGTGCTGCAGGTGCTTAAGCAGGCTGGGAGCTGATGGGGGGGCGGGGATTCAGCAGAGAGAGGTAATCGCTAGATCCAGTCCATAAGGAGACCCAAGCGATTGGGCCCCTGGACCTCAGGGGGAAGCATGAGCCTCTGGTCAGCCTTTGTTTTGAGCCCAGAGGACCGTGGTGAGGCTGGGACAGATGAGTGTGGGGGCAGAGGGGCGAGGGGGAGTGGAGTGACAGCCCGTGTGGAGTAGCCCGATAGCCTCTATTTTTTCTCTAAAGTGGGAGGCGAGACCATCTGCTGAGAATGAGGGGGAAAAAGGTGGCATGGGAGGCTGGAGAGGGGGTGAGGGTTTGGAATAGCTGCGCTGTGCAGTGGAAGGAGAGCAGGCCCAGGCAAGGGAGGGCTTGCTGAGAGACCCTGGCCATCCACCTGGAAACTCATCTTTTCTGGAGCACCTGTTGGTGGCTGTGGAACAGCTATGGCTTGGAGAGAGCCAGAAGCCTTGGAGGACCCCTGGGTTTCCTGATCCCAGCAGCCACTCCAGAGTCAGCAGGACCTTGCCTCTGAATGGCCATCAGAGCCCACTTGGGCTGGGAGGACAGCTGCCATTTTTCTGCTCAGAGCCTCGCTGGCTTCCTAGGTGATGGCTGCTGTAAGGTCATGGCAATAATCGCAGTCATAACGACTTGGCATCTTCCTCCCCGAGCTAAGCATCCAACACTGTTCTTGGGAAGCAGCTGGCAGGCTGTGTGCCTGGTGCAGAGAGGCTCCTTGGCCGTGGCTGAGGCTGCGCTGGGCCAGTCCCAAGGCACACTTGAGATCCGCACGCGTGGCCACCCGGACCCTCCACGTTAGCCACAGCAGCAATAGTGCTGCCTTCTCAGGGGACTTGGTCTCTGGTGAGAAGAGTCCCACCTAGGTCCTTCTCTGCTGTAATTCCAAGAAGAGCCCATTGGGAAACTTGTTTTGTCTGATATGTGAGATGAATAAATTTTTTTTATAAGTCCAGGCTTAAATGGTGCCTTGGTTTTAGGAATGACAACCCCAAGAAGGTGCTCAGGCATTCCTGGCTGGAGGAGTGTGGTTCCTAGGGGGGCATTAGGGCTTCTTTAGCCACCAGAAACTTAGGGACGGGGTGAGGCCGCTTTTCTCCAGAAAAAGCTGCACCTCCTTTCATGTCTGTCCCAGATGTTGTGTGTCCATGTGTGCCTCATTCCACCGTTCTTCCCCCAGCCCTGTGATGGATCACAGCCTGGTCTAGAGAGGAAGGCAATCTGATTAAAGCAATTCACACTAACGAGAGAGTGGCTGATAGGTTTAACTTCTGCATATTTGCATTTTAAGAGGTGGGCGTGTAAATCCAAACATATATTTGCAGTAATGACAGAGGGGGATAGCATTCTGTAGGGGTGAGACTTTTGAGAGTGAGGAGGTGGTAACTCGTGGTTGTGTCAGTTAGGATGCTT